GGCTGGTCGACAAAGAAATAAGCATGATAAGAAAATACCAAAAAAAGATAACTATGCTGCAGCCCTCTGGCTGAAGTCGCCAGTTAGGTTGTCATAAAGACGAAATGGGACGGAAAGGTACATCATTCGCATAAGTGGAACAACAAGTACATGTCATATTTTCCGATTGTTTGACAGGAACAATTATTGGCTTTATGCAAAGATGCTCAGACAACTGACAACATAGAATCTCTTGTTATGCTACAGGGCTGAAGAGGAAAATTACTGAGTTGCTGAAATCTACTAAAGTAGGCGCAGCTGCAGGAACTGAGTGAGGTACTTCGCATGATGTTTTCTTTCACTTTCAAAGATGAGGAGGTAAGTAATGAAAATTCAGGTCCACATTGGATCCAGCAAGCCTTAACAGTTGGAATTTGAGTTACGGTTGTTTCCAGACTGAACACAACGTTATATACACAGACAAGCTCTTGTCCAGAATCTTCATTAAGTTAACAAATGCTGGCACCATTGTAAATATATGTTACAAATCCATCGCGAAAAAGGCTCTGTCAGGGCCCACCCGTGTTATCATTGTTGCTTTGCCCACTCTTCGCTTTACCAGGAAACCAGCTGGTAATTGCACGATAAAATACAACTGTTTTTTACTGAAACATTAATAAATTTTCCCCGATTGAAAAACGTCGAAAAAGTAACAACAATCATCTTTACGGAAACGTTTCGTAATTAGTGAAATACACTCATTTGCAAATTCCTTTGGAGTCAACAATGGTTCAAACAACTTCTCTCGTTCATAGTATTTTACAAATGAATGGACCCCGCAAACGTCCAAGATGGTACAATATTCAGGAAATCGCTCCATATTTTCAAGACATTTCGCACATACACCTGGGTTATCTGTTATAGGTTCATATCTTCAAATATTGCAGAAGCGTCAGTGCCGCAAAACGTTTTCTCTGTCTGTCTCTTCTCTGTGTTTTACTTTTCTATGACGAATTCTTCATTCTTAGAAAGATATCCACTGACTTGTATTTTGCTATTAAAAAGACAAGGCTCAATCTCTGGTTAAATATTTGTTAGAGACCATGAAAATCTTGAAAATCAGAATAAAGAATATGATTGTTCGACTGCGCCTACAAGTATTCTATATGTACTCTTCTCACTTCACTGTGAACCGTTGCTTTACCACACCACATAATTTAGTTATGCGAGTGTGGTATGGTAAACGTAACTGTGGTTTTTTACTTCCTTTTAACCCGGCCAACTTTTGTTTACAAAACGCGACTTCAGGAACTCGCCCTCACTTGTGCACACCTATGTTTGACCGTATCAAATACCACCATTCAAATCCAACACCTACAGCGTGTGTGGAAAACTCGCTAAAAAAGATTGCGTCTAGATGAGGTAAAGTTGCAGTTCGTTGAGAGATATTTTCAATTCTGTGAATACGAATCTCGAGTAGATACTATTTTTTGATTTGCCTGTAGCGTTTTCGTATGGACGGAAGCGCACCTCCCTCAGTTAGATGGAGGAAAGTTGAGTCTTCGGCGGAACAAATAATGTTACATTATTGCTTTGGTTACCGATCTAATACTCCATAACACTAGATTTTCATTTGTTTCCCAGCTTTTGAAGCATATCGACTTATCATTCTAGTCTTTAGACAATCTCATGGATATGCCTCCTAATGTGACTTGCAGGTAACATTCGCTAACTTTTATGATCGATAAACTTTATTTTAGTCACACGTGAGGACCAATGCATGATTCCCCATTTCAATTTCTCCTAATTTAAAGATTTTAGTCGTTTCAGCGTGATTGTGGGTAAGCGTTTCACAAATTCTCGTTAGATATCTGGTGAGATCCTTCTAGTGGACTACTGACTTGAGACTTTCTACTCCCTGATAACTTTAACTTATTCTAATACAGCCCGTATTAGTAGTGATGGTTGTTTTATGTAAACAAATTTTTGTTTTGGACACTTGTTTTTCTTCGAATAAAATGGTGCTAAAAACAATGTAAAGGATACGCGCCAGTATAACTGACCAAAAAATCACCAAATTATTCCTAGGAGATTTCTCTAGGCTGAACTTTCGATTTCAGGCTCACATACCTACATAAAAAAATTGTTGGTTCGACGTTTCCATATAAATATCACTTGCGTATCAGTGTTTGAATCGTCAAGAACGTGGTGAATGATATAACCAATACTCTACTTCCTTCTAAAATAGAAACCAGCGACCTCAGTTCAACAAGAAGAAATTTTGTTAATCTTTGTCTAACTGGTAAGCCGAAAGATAAACTTCTTCTAAAACTTTGCAGTATAATATTCTCCCGGGAAAGGGATCTCTCCTAAAGGTTCTACAACAAAGCTTCATTTTAAGACCCTGGAGATAGAACAGCCCTTAAAAGGAGCTGAATATCCCCATGGAGGCCCCTAAGTGAATTTTAGTTGCCGTTGGTTAAATTTCTTGTATATTTTTAGAGTTGCAATCTATTTTCGCAACGCTTTGCGCTTTGGGCACAACACAGCGACAACCGACGGCTAGAGTGGCGATCGGTTCTAGAAGTTGCCAAATGCGCACGTGCTTTTTAATTTCAGAAGAGCACATTGATCCTTGGATGAACCCTTTTGTTCAGTTTCGCGTTATTACATTCGCTCAACTGATTAACAACTATGAAAAACCATAAACTATCGATTGGCTCGCACGCGCAAATAGCTGCTTGGTTAATATCTGTCAGAAGAACACAGATGTGCGCAATATACCGGCGACAAAATTAAGGTGTTTCGAAGTTCAAGGGGTTGCTAATGGAGCTGTTCCGTGCTTGTTTTTCGAAAACAAATTACCGCCTGTACTACGATCACCATGGCAATTAGACCTTTGATCGTTTGGAATAATAGGACTGAAGTCCTTAGCCTGTTCAAAAGCATCTCATGTATATCGATTATGTATACATTTAAATGGATATCGCGCGCTTGCAATATAAATCCATGCTAACAAAGGTGAGCATTAGGGTAAACATAACGCAACACCACCGTGTTAACGCCCTGAGATGTCTGAGTTCTCCTTGAACAGCCACAGTACCCCTTAGTCCAGTTGTTGACGCAAATGATTTTTTGGATTTCAGGGGGTCTGAATAAAAGTGATGCAAGTATATCGACTATCGGGAGCATTCATTCAGGTACGTATGGAGAAAATCCTATCATCTTTACAAAAATGCTATTCAAACCCTTGGAGTTCTAATTTGCAATCAGCACAAGGGTATGAACTCGCATCAAAGAGACATGCACAGTAGCTCTTGCAAAACAATTTCACACCTCTTTATTTTTGCTTCAATTTAAAATAGAAGCTTGTCACATGTATTCAGAAACGTCTTTTTTTTTGAATGGCATTCTGGATGATGAAATGATAAGTACTTAGTTGTTGTCCGATTTGAAGAAGCCTTGATGAGGCAAACTTCAAGAAAGTGAATTTATACCATCCCCGACCTTTGCTCTTTGGAAGACTGATTTCAAACATGGAGATGTAGTGACCAATCTGCTACATTTGGAAAGATTGAAAATAGGTTGGATAATATTTTAAACCATCGGTTTACTTTAATAGTGTATTATTCCTTTTCTAAACCCGCCAGCTGCTTCACCGATTCCACGACAATATCATATCACTTTTTACCATTGTAATTTACTCTATGTATTTAGTCGTATCAGATACATCAATTTATCCAAACTCCTTTGCTTTTTAATGAAGTTTGTTCCGCCTACCGCGTGAGAGCTAACTTTCAACTATTTCTAACACGCAGTACTGTAACGTTCCAGCGAACAAAGAAGCAGCCCTGTCTAATGAAGTTTACAAAATGTTTGAAAAAAATAATCAAAACCCGTGCAAGTTTCCAATTTTATTATAAAGATGGTGTGCTTAGATGTTTCCAGTCCGACATTTTTGTTGATATCCGTAAACAGTTCGACACCCTCAGTTGAAGTAGCCACTCATTGTCCAATCTCTCTCCAGCGAAATCTGTGGAACACTCGGGTTTTAGCATTTCGAATGTTCATCAGATTTGAACTCTTGTAGATCGAATCGGGAGAAATTGAGGAATCCATGATGTAAACCCTATTTGTGTCAGGACGCGCCCAGACATGGAAAATATACATGTGAGGAGACGTCACCATCGGTGCGACTCGTTCGGAAAGCAGGTGCGTTGGCGGAGCTCACCAAACACAGCTTAGCAACATAAGACCAGTGGAGTGGGACTGAAGTTGTTCACGACCTGAACACCGCCATTGGCTGTACAGAACGAACAAGCGAAAGACCATATTTGGCCATTTCGTCACCCTATATATTTACGCAGAAGCTCTGTATGTTTTGTCCCGAGTTCTCTGTCTTTTCCGTATCGCGTAGTCTGGCAGGCTCATTGCAGGCGTAACCAACAGATGGCCACCCACGATACAACAATTTGTCTACATGCTCAACATGCACAATTCTTAAAGGGTTTCACTGAGAGGATTTCTAGATACAGGGAGCAGTAGATAAGAGGCGGTTCATCAGTAGTCCTAAAATCCAACACAACCCTAAAAGGACCTTCCAAATTTGATGCCGTATGGAGGGTAGGCTCTAGATTGGAGGGAAAGTTTTGGAAGAGGCCCTAACACGCAATAAAGGTCATGTCTGAGCTGAAAATTTGGATTTTTGCCGCCAGTGATGAAAGCCCTACTCGCTCATTTATAAACTAAGAGATAAGGAGCCACCTGTCAACCTAATACACAGTATAGTAGCCTACTGTGATTTCTAAAACGATGTGAACGTATCCCAATTGAATAGTGTACTTCCGTCAATGGTATTCTTGCCCCCAAAAATAAATACTCGCTTATTGGTGCGTGTGCGTTGACAGCTATGCAAAAAAGCCTTCACCATCATAGACATGCGAGAATCTAGAGTAGGGGTAACGGTCTATATGGTCCGAACGTACGGGCTTCCTCACATAACGCGGGCATAACAAATAGGGTTGGTTTACATATATGTATAATGCTAATAGAAGATAGTTGTATGATCCTCCATTAGGAGACTCATGTTCACATGAGAAGGCTGTGGTGCTCAGCGAATCACGAACAAACGAACTCGACGATTTATTGTTCGACAGATATCCTGCTGAGTGAAAAAGCCTACTCCCATATAGAAAGCTTTCCTTAGCATTTCCACAAGTTTGAAGAAAGCGTAACACGGTTGACGGCTGGTCCTTGCGTGCAAATTTGAAGTAGAACAAAATTTACATTTTCAAATTGGCAATCAAAATAACTGTGTTGTGTATTCACGAAGAAAATCCCCAGTGCAGACCCGGTCACGCTGGCAAACCGTCCACTGCAAAGTTGGCATAGCGTGCGTTTCCGAAGCCCTCACATCCCAAGGCTACAAATCCAGGGCGGATTACGGGAATCCCATCAACTTCATCAAGTTCTTCACCGTTCAGCAACATTGTAGCTTTCAGTCCCTGAAGCATATCAAATGATACCAATTTTACCAGGAAAGTATGTATAAAACTGGATTACTGAGGCATCTTCCTGTGAGATTTGAGATAGCAAATAAAATCAGAATTGTTAGGGAAACTAATGAAGAGTCATTATCTTTGAGTAACGTTGTACAATGTGGACTTTCCTTTTTAGAAGGATAGTTTTTTCTCCAGGGTTTTTTGTATCGTCACCATCAGTCTGTTAGCAGTGGTCTTGTATCAGATGTGACGTGCCGCCCTTATTAAGGATGAGAGAGAGTTCACACAGTCTTTTTCAACAGCTGTTGATTCAGTCGATCAATCTGACTATTGACTGTCTGACCAGTCTAGACTAGACTGGACTAGACAGTTACAAGGTGTATGCTTCGAAATTTCGTTTGGACGTACACGGTGAATACACGTTTGTTTTCTGAAAATCTCAGAATCACAAGGCCCGCCGTGCACATCAGTACACAGTTGAACTTGGACTGATTCGTCTACATGACCGATTCGGGTGCATCTGACTTCACAGCCATATGTAGGCTAATCAGTTTCGGATATCGGGTGATTTGGTTCACAGGTTGTGAAACTTCACATAACCGGATGCTAAATTGTTTGGCGGTTTCATAAGGCCTCATTAGCCAGACTGCTCATTCCACTCTGTCATCGGTGCTAACACAGTGTCTGATGATGAGAGTAAGCTTCTTCTTCTGGTGGATAGGTTTTGATGGATTTTCTTGGATCCGCGCTATTACATCCCTTACCATCGACCAATAAACATCAAACTTCACTCATTGTTGAGCTGCTAAGTGGAATTTGCCCTGGATTGAAGCTTTTTGAGGGAATATCATAACTCTCATATCAATTGAATCCACCAGCTAAGGCTAAGGAGTGTGAAATCTCCAACCGTGGTGTCCACGGTAGAACAACTGAAAATGGTTTGATGGTCCGATCTAACTGTTTATTTTAGTCGACTACTCGTGCGCACCTTCGTTGTTTATGGGAATAATATTTAACCGATCATTCTGGAGACCTTACCACTGCCAAACTTGAAATTTAACAGGATGTCACCTAGGGAGCTTTGGCATTATTGGCAGCCATGAATTCGGTCACTCCAGTGTTTGCTCCCTGTGACTCATGCTATTCAGCGACCTGACGGAGAGCAAACAGCAGCTGGTTGTTTTCCAGCGCTTCTGTTTTCGACGAAAAGGAAGAAAATAGGCCTACCAAAGACAAAGCTTAATATCTTACTTCAATCTTCAGCTCCAGTGTGTACCAGCGGTCCATCAACAACTTCACTGGGCCCGACGCAAGCCAGTTAGAGCCCGCTGAAAAACAAAACCATAGAAGCTCATTTTGACGATGTCAACCCATACTTGCTCCATCATTATAAAAATTTCGACATTCACAATGCAGCGTGTGGTAACAACGGGATAAAATGAGAAACAAATGCCCAATGTCCCCTGTGGGTGAAGAAGCGTTTACAGGGCAATATTTGCAGGCAGGCGTGTCTATTGAGGCACACTGGATTTACAGTAAATGGTTGTCTGCGCGAAAATGGTTTTCCTTTGGACAGGTTTCATACGTTTTGATTCATTATGATGTCGTTTTGTGTCCCACACTTCCTAGGCCCTGTTCATAAAAAAGGTTCATAAGAGGTTCATAAAAATATACATGTATCGCGATATCTCGAATGCCGTAGCGACTGAAACATGAGGCGACCTGATGCAGCACATTCAGTTGCCTGGGGACATAAAAAAGAGGGATTCAACTGGGTTCCAGGTGAGTCTCTCGAGAAATCAAAGTTTACAAATGAGTGTATGTTCGCTGTGTTCATAATTGTTTGTGCAAACCATAATAGGAATAAATTCCCCGAGAATGTTTTTTTATAAAAGAATATTATTAGTAACCTTGTGAGTAGTTTCTTTCATGAAAATCTACCGCAATACCTCGAATATCGTACCAACTGAAGAAAGAGCCGGAATTCCTTAAGAATACCATGAACGAGAGATTCGGTTGAGTCTCCTATGAAAACTAGATTGATATACAAATGAGCTCAGCTGTCAAATGGTTCTCAAAAATGTTTGATAGACTTATAGCTCATCAATGTTTCCCACTTAACACTAAGGATTCTTCGGTTTGAATAAATTGGTTACTGGATTGGTCGGGTTTTAAGGCAGACGGAAATTCAATCAGTATGGTTTGACAGGTATACTCGTTGGCATACCAGTTCGGTTTCTACGTGACATTCCGACCTGAATCTTCTATCTTTTATGTTTTCATCAACTCAATATGCTGCAAGAAGCCACCACATATTTCACTTGGTACGATTTTCGAAACACCGTAATACATTGTATAGACATGAAACACTACCCAAAAGTTTGCTAAAAACACATCAGCAGTCTTTCTCGGGGCTCCTCGAGTAGCCCTAGTTCCCGTGTTTCCGTTAAATTTATGCACTACTTAAACCCAGATTGCTCGAAGTTCTTCAAATATCCTTATTTGCGTAATATTTGTTTTTTACTGGCGACTCACTAGAAAACCAGCTAACTCTGTCGTTTATAAATGTGTTGCTGAATCAGCAAGACTATTTCCGACAGACACGCTAGATCAATGCTGAATGTCTGCTTGGAGGACTTGCTAGTTATTGTGGGTGCAAAAGTTGGGTTGGGGGTTCAAATCACTTTGGTCGGATTTAGGTTCTTGATCTTCCAGCTCCGAGCACTTTAATTGATGATTTCTGTCGATAGTCATTTAAAAATGTTGATGGTCAATTTGGGTTTGTAGAAACTGGTTTGGGGGGTGAGATTAAGTAGATTTTTTCTCCATGTACATGAGATCTACGCCACTTCCGTTGGCGACCCCACTGGCAGATCACACCACCACCCGTCATCTTGGCTGATAATGAACCGTACAAGTTCGCCAGGTTTAAATCTTCTGTTCCGTTTGCATTGGGATGCTTGGAGTTTTTTAATTTTGTTTCGTGTTGCGTGCCTAACTCATTTGATGCTGAGTCTATCAGTGGCCCTCGACATCCTTCGCGTTTCTTTCCTGTCTGGTAATTTTCTGTTGTGCTTAGGCATTCTGTGTGAAGTCACCCAACCTACTGTTTTACGCGGAACTTGGTGAATCATTTGCATTTGATTTTGCTAACACAACATGTGGTTTTGTACGCCGAGCGGCATTTCATCCTTTAGACCAGTGGGTAGCGTATAGAGTTTCCTTCCTAAAAATCTGCTATTATGTTAATCGTACTTATGCTCTTTCGAATGACACCACACATGTCTGGTCTATATGGATCAACAGCAGTCCTAATCTATTTTCTGTTGAAGTTCGTCACATTCTTCACGAATAACGCCTAATCAAATTAGCTGAATACACATGGTTTCAAGACCGCTTCCTTACTTCAGTTTAAGCGACTGTCTGATCGATTTCTTTCCCGCACGGAGCATTTACTCAGACACTGGTGATAGTTGACATAGCATGTGAGCGAATTCAAAATGACCCTATTAACAGCTGGCCTCTCTTTGCCTACCTATCAGTTGAAGCACACCGTCTGAGGTCATGTGCCTCAGATTAACTCCGTCACTACCTAAGGTTTCATCTAAATAGCACTTAGTCATTTCCGACGGATACGGGAAATCGGCTAGAACTTCTTTTCTAAAATGCCACACAAACGTTTGTTGAGACCGGGAATACCGGATGTTACATTGCTAGGCCCCGTGCTTGAGCGAAGTGGGTGAGGTAGCTCAAGCCTTCCATCTACGGTGATCTGTGTCGTTTCCGAAAATGTGATGCCCGCCACTGGCAAGAACGTGACTGTTTCCAATGAACTCTCACTCAGCACACTGTATGTAACGATTTGACGGAAGCATACAAATACATCACCTGGTAAGTTTGGCTCCGGTTGGAAGGTCGTCCAACCTGCAGGCTGACCCTTGCTGCAGTGAATCAGCAGTCATATATGTATATAGGTTACCGACCTTTGGGACTACGTCACAGGGATCATCGAAAATTACATTGGAAGCATGAAGTCTGGCACAAGGGTTCGAACTTGCGTTCCAACAGATACAACTTTCATTTGAAGCAAACATTATGCTTTTAGACATCAGCATATACATCTAGTTAGCACACTGTGAAATCTAAACGAGTGACGTTCATTTAAAAAGTATAAAAAACAAAATTCCTTCACATCTTTTCACAACGGAAACAACTCACAAGGTTGCTGAAAACTCTTTGACAGCCCACGACCGGTTTCGCCCTACTTAGGACTCATCAGGTATGCGCAGTCCCCGAGTTTCCGTCAACTTTATGTTCTACTTGAACCCAAATTGGACTATTTTTGAGAAATACATCCTAAGAAGGGCGAAACCGGTCGTGGACTGTCAAAGCGCTTTCAGCAACCTTGTGAGTAGTTTCCTTTATGAAAATATACTGCGATATCTCGAATGTCGTGCCAGCTGAATCACGAGGCGGCCTGTGTGCAGCACATTCAGTTGTAGAATATTATTACGAGAAACTCCTTCAAATTGCAGTGACTGTTATCCAGTGCGCAATAAACCATAGAAATATAAAACACGTTCTCATTAGTCCCCGTTGCATTGCCCAGGACGTCCATGTGTGCTTAGATATACGACAATGTAACACTCCATACAAACAGGAGAAGGCTGCAAATATCTAGTCACAGTCATGGTTTAAAAGCTTGGAAAATCCGGCTGACCGTCTCTCCCCGTACCTCCTTTACATCATGACAGGAATTAGAAGAATTAGCTGGGTAGCATACGATTTTACCATAACCTTTCCATTGAGTTGGCTAGCTGTTTTCTGTGCGGTGAGCTTAGCAGTTCCGTTACAAACGTCTCATCATCATCCCATGTGACGTCAGCACGGCCATGTAAGTAGGCGTTAGATTATGATGTAGGCCTTTAACACGCTTGTGTTTTCATACGTTTACTCACGGGAAATGACCTTCGGTGTTGGTTCCGAACTCACATGCGGTGATGCAACTAGTTAGTTCCATCACAATGCTGTACTCAGACGCAGAAAATAGCCACTAGCCCGTGTCATTCTGTAGCCGAACGAACCAAATTTTCCACTAATATGATAGAAAATTGGACACACCAGCCACTGAACTGTATACCACGGACTGAAAAGTGTCCTAGTTCGAAGAGTCGCTCGTGCTCGCAGATCTTATAGTTAGTTCTTAACTTCATCCTGTTTTTGATTCAAGCTGACGTGAGCGGAGAGTGGTCAAGATCACAAGCTGAATTCTCCAGGCCTACTGAAAGCCGACTTTGAAGTATGAATCAGGTTTATTTGACGACAGTTTGTTCGATGCTAGATAAGCATGGATACTCTAGTGGTTAAGGCATGAAGTTACTGCTCAGGAGGTCCACGGTTCGGACCCAGAAGATGCCTACCAAATGTTTCTGTTTGTGTTATGTCTGCTGATTCGCCAATCTGAGGTATCTGCTGCCGACCCGCTCCAGTGCCTCGTGCCGGAGGAAAAAAGACTCACAGAAGGGAACACAACAGCTATATCCCGAACAAGCGAGTGCGAGACGTGAGTGCATGCCAGTGCGAAAAGTACAACTGTTTCAAGCTATTTATTGGAAGGACACTGTCTGAATTTAGTCCAATGCTGACGCACACGTTCTGGCTTTGGCACGAGGCTGTGACGTGCGGTATATTGTTGTCTGGCCTTGATCAACGCCGACTCTTGCTGTCTGGGTTTGACACAAGGCTGTGGCGCGCTGCATGTTGAGGGGGTGTTGTCTGTCTGGTCAACATCTAGCGGAGCTGAGAGTCTCGGTAGATTTCGGACATTCAGTGGATACTTCCAGGAAGCTGACCTTCCTGATGGTTTGAGTTTGAACAAACCAACATTAACTCACCCTTTGTGCTCCCGTCGGGTTGTGCGGCGTCTGTCTGCTACCAAGAGATTATTCGCATCATTTTACCTCTTTATTACCTAATCGTTTGTTCCCGCTTCATTAACCCGTACGATACTAGATTAAAGGAACTACATCAACACAACAGTTATGGTTCCCTTTTGATGTATGGTGGGAGAAGTAGGGTGCAAGCAAATAATATTTAATCTGATGAGCAGATGCAAAAACTATAAAAGTTATGATAAAATCATATTTTTTTAGACTGATAAAATCTTGGAACTAGGGTTCTGTGTCGCTGAAAATACTAGTTCTAATTGCGATTCTCACAGAAGCGGTGGGTGTGATACTACTGATGGGAAGGCATGCGAGTAGTATGTGATTTTCTCGTATATCCGCTTCGCGTCTATTGAAAAGTGGGATTTATTGCGGAATTCGTGGAGTCGCATTCGCTTGGATTTGAGCAACAGTCAAAGAATATACAGGGAAGTTCAGGAAGACGCGTTCAAGGAGGAGATGGATATTCAGTTTTTTGTAAACAAGATGGATGTGAGTTATGCTTCAATGTCCAATCGTCTGTAACTGTTCAGTTGGCATTTTCTAATAAACGACTCCTTTCACCAGTATATGAGCATTGTGAGCTTCAGGTTGATAACCTGCCTTGATGGAACCCGAACATCTGGGACGAACTTTTTGGTACTAAGTAGCAGGTTTTTGGGTTCCATTCACGGCAGAGAGCGAACATGCTTTGTGCTCTTAGCTTAGCGAGGCTAAATAGAAAAGAGTCGTGTTTGCAAGTGCGCTATGTCACACAAGTGGTAAAAACTGAATCGTGAATTGAACAATCCTACTATAGCATCTAGCTCAAAAAAGGGTAACAACAGATAATGAACGGTTTTCTTGCCGTTTAACAGTCATTTACCGGCTACAATACTTGAATAAATACTGATTAATTTTTTCTCTGACTGATTTTTTCAGTCAACCATAAGTGCACATCTGTATGGTAAGAGAAACTTACTCAGGTCACTGGTCAGTCGGTATTGTCCTTTCAAGAAATCTAACCAGGCGAATATACCGGCAGTCGCGGGAAAGTTGCATCCGCCATGCTGAACGCGAGCAGCAATAAATATTGAGTGCGTTTTATTTTCAGAAGGCATCATAACGGTTGATTTGACCGTCATATTTACCCTGCGGTTTGATTGAAAACAGGTGAGAAGTGGTTGAAAAAATTATTGTTTAAGGGGTTTCTCGCATTCCTAGTATGTGACTATATGAAACTTTAGTGACACTACCGGCATAAACGTGGTCAACTCTTCAGTGGTGGTGTACTGAGAATAACGACATCTTCCATTATTTGAAACGTTCATTCAGTAATTAGGGTTAATCAAGAGCAGCTTTTCTAATGAGGGCATCAGATGGTTGCTTACTATAATGTACATTGGTGACCAGTTATAAGGAGTGTTGCTTTACTTACTCCTGTTTAAGTACGAGTTAATCACACTGCTGGTCAGCCACCCGTGGCCGAACGGTCAAGCCAGGAGGTTGCGGGTTCGAGACACTCCAGAGTTACGTGAAGTGCGCTTTGCTGATGATTCCCAATGAGGAAGAAACAGCTGTACTTTGCGGCTCTTCAGCATAGATTGGCTTAACTTACATGACGAAATCTCCACTTATGAGGCCAATTTGATATGGTATTATCGTTCTCGGGAAAAACCATGTCCTCACGCAACTTCGCTTACGGCAGTAAATAGGAGGAACAGTGGATTCTTGGATTTCGCAAACGAACCATAACGGTATGAGTTGATGATCATGATGATGAGTGGACTCCACGCGAAGTCCCTTCTCCTAGTAAGGATATCGATAAGGTAGCTAGAATTGAAATACGCCACATGTGAACACAATTGTGCAACGACCGATCGCGCAAACGACATGGTATCACCAAACCTTTTCCAATTGATTGAAAACAACTACGGACCATGTGTCCGCAAATTGTCCAGTGACTACGTTCAATTGGCAAGGCTAGAAGCAAACTGGGAGAGGTCCCTCTAAAACCAGAAGCTACAGAATACACAATCATCATCATTATTATCAGCTGTAATAACCGCGTACTGGTCGTACACTGGTTGTAGCTGCCGAAGCATTCAGCGTAGTTCGTGAGTATCTGTAAGCAAACGGCAAGCCATCATTTCGATCCATTACTTTCACCAGTACTGCTTCATATGAATTAAGCAAGAGAGGCTTACATGCCATGAGGTGAAAGTTCAAAAAAACGTTTCCAGAAACAAGGGCTAAGCGATCTGACATCCAGCAGTCGGACATCTGAGCCGCTGACATACACAAGACAAGCCAGAAAAATGGGGGGAAAGGAGGAATCAGGTTAGTCTGAAACGGCAGAGGAGAGCCAATCACAACACAACATACATTGTAATGGATTTGCACGATTCCTTTATTACACTGTACTCTCATACTTCACAACATAATAGAGCACTCGGCTACCCACTGACGTAACTCACGTCAGGACATGAAACAACCCACATCTAACGACGGCTGACCTAACGCTAACAAAGTCAAATGTCTGAGTGTGACTATAAGTATTGCAGTTAATCGGTCTGCCCATCGTACGAGAACCGGTGACAAAATGCGGATTAAGCAGACTGTAGAACTGATGGCAGTTATACCAAGATTCGTTATTTTGTGGTGTGAGATCGCATAAATACTGAACGACGAAGTGAATGGGTTGTAAATGCCCCGAGAACACTTTTTTGTGGGTTTTTTGTATCTAGACATTTCGGATGCACATTTCGTGCCTTTAGTGCGTATAAGTTCGGGACAAAGGTGTGCAGATTTCGTTTCAGAAGAGCTTGGTAAACAATCGGTAGTTTTCATTTGAGCAACGTTTCGCTCTTGACACAAAAGCTTCATTTTAAAGCCCCTCACCGGGAAATCTAGTACTTACATTAAAAATTCATATGACTTTGCCAACAAAGTAGCAGGTGCCACTGTTGAACCGGATGACATCCTTGTAAGTTTCGATGTGAATTCGTTATATACAAATGTGCCAAAAGGGGCTTCTTTAGAAATAGCCAAGTGACTGCTGTTAGCGGACACCACCCTGTCAGTACGGACACAGCTTACGGTAGATGAAATAGTGGAAGGCATAAAAACAGTTCTGAATCTCACCCACTTCGTCTTTGACTGAGTGGTTTATACTCAAGAACAAGGTCTAGCAATGGGACTTCCAATATCCCGGTTTTGGGCAAATATATTTATGGAAGAAGTTGAACAGAGAGCTTTTAGCCGGATTCCCGTACCCACCCAAGATATTCTGGCGGTATGTAGATGACACTTTCCTCGTCATGAAACGGGACAAGGTTAATGAGTTTTACAACTATCTCAATGAACTGGGTCCACAGATCAAACTTAGTATGGAGATGGAGTCAAACTCGGGTAAACTGGCCTTCTTAGACTACATGACACATAAGGTTGGGGGAGACTAAAGACCACGGTGTACGAGAAGCCAACCGACACTGGGGCAGTTTTACTCAACTCATCTGCCCATCCGAAGTCGGTGTTCGGCAGTATTGTGTCATCAATGTTTAGGCGCGTAAGGACCCTGTGCACAGAATGATCGAACAGGACAGCGGCCCAAATTGAAGTAAAGGGCAAACTTCGGGGTAGTGGGTATCCAGCTAGCTCAATTGCGAAGGGTGTTGGTACCGGTAGCGAAACCCAACAGGGAGTGGATCGGGACCGCTGTTATTCCATACAAACCAGAGACATCGGAGGTCATTCGAAGCATTCTAAACACAGCCAACAGCTTTCCAGAAGGGGAACACTCTGCGCTCTGTAGTGGTGCAATTAAAGGATCGCCTCCCGGCAATCAGAACCAGGGACTGTGTCTACAATATTAAATGTAACGACTGCACCAAGATCTCTACAGGACAGACGGCCAGCAAACTGCACACCAGAATCGGAGTACAAAATAGAAAAATAAACAGACCGCCGAGAAATGCAGATGGACATCAAGCGTTACACTGAAAGACTCAACAATCGCGGAACACGCACTGGACACGGGACACAAAATAGATTTAGAAAATGTTGAGGTTTTGAGGCGAGAACTACGGTCCACGTCACACAGACTGATCGCCGACGCGGTAGAAATCGTCAAGCGTCCCAGCGTTAACAGAATGGAAGGCGTGGAACTGGCTACCGTGTGGAAAACGGTCTTGGGTCGCTCGAGTTGACACGTGTTGGTGTGCGGTTATCATCTGAAATCCACTTGACCTCAACCCCCTCAAACTAAATTGTCGGAGCACTCACAACCCCACAAATACCAAGGAAAATCTAACAGCGGCACCCGAGGTGAATCACCAAGTGAAGCACCCCGAATTGGAAGATTAAGGAACAAAGAGCGATCGCAACTAATTTGAAACCCCTCCAACCCATCAATTCAAGATTTTGGCACCCACACTAGCCGACAAGAGCCGTTAATTGACACTCAACACTGGTCTAGTTTGAAGAGGACTTACTGATTGGTTCCCCGTCTGCCTTATAACTTGGGAAATTTGGTGACCTGTTGACTTGGCCTGATGAAGCTTTTGTGTCAAAAGCGAAACGTTGCCCAAATAAAAACTACCGATTGTTTACCAAGCTCTTCTGAAACGACCACCTCTGATAACGTTGAACTAATCCTCGTATTCAAAAATTCCTATCATGACTTTTAGGTACCGAAAGAAGCATGTGTATGGTTTCCTAAGTTGTGGAAAAAATTAATTCACTGCTTACAACGTCCTCAACATTGCGGTTAGCGAGGAACAGTTAGTCACTGCAAGTAATACTAATCTGCACACTTCTAGAGAGTTAGTCTGGAGAACGCGGGAGTTTTGGAGCGACAATTAGCGTATAGTTCATTGACTGACAACCATCCACCAAATGTACCAATAGTGATGGATATCTCCTTTGTCCAGATGATCTCAAAGACAGGGAAAGTACTATCAGAATTTATCTTGGAATTGGTCACACTCTTCGGAGTTGTGGCGCTGTAAGTAGTGCTCGATGAGGAACGCCCTTGTGTACTCTCTCGGACGGTGACCATCATTTTGAGAGCTCTCTGTCGCGCCTTATAACCCAGTATGACCTGCACTCACTGACTACGTAATGCACATCAAATGAAAAACTGTTAGCTTCATGAGCAGGAATCTGAGCGGCAATGGAATGGAAATTTTGAGAACTATCGATACGGAATCAGAGTCAGTGCTGCAAACACAACCATATCGGTTCGCGCTACGTTGTCGTGGAACTGATAGAATGAAAGTAGACACTAAAGACACACTAAGAAGACATTAAGGTGTTCGAATAGATGAGTTATTTATTGGTGAAACAACAGGTATGCATATTTTTTAACCATAACTATCCATCCAAATTCAACATACTCACTAATAGAACTGAGACACCGACCCCTCAGCCCAAAATGCCAGTTCGATAAAACTTCCGGACCATCTAAATTACATCTCAGAAATGGAATGAAACTCACATATGTTCCAGAATTTTTATGACTTTCAAGGATAAAAGAATAAAATTCAATTCGTATAATTCCAGATGGACTGAATAAACTATTTGCACCCAAAAATTAGCATTGTTTCTTCTGAGGAAATGTGATGTTCTAACCTGAAGGCATCTGACCCAAGATTTCCGCAGACTTGATTGGTTTACCAAGATGTGACTTCGTCTTACTAGTTAGCCTGGTTCATACACCATCCATACTCTTGTCTATATATGGCTACAGCCACCCCGAATTCGCCGCATACACAAAACCTAACTGCGTTTAATTCTGGTTTATAACCGGGGGCGCAGTCTCAATGAAGCCCCATGCACACAGTTTAGTAGTTGCAAGAGTTACCGGATTTGTTTTCACCCTCTCGTCTGGAAAGTGCACTTCGTGTCCCAGTGGAATAACTGCACTTGGTTTAGAACGAGTAGAACCGAGTGTTGTTGACTTAAGACTACATGAATACCATCAGGCTGGGTCCTGCGAGTGGGCTTTAATAAGAGTGGACCAACCAGAATAATCCCACTGAAGCCAAGGTAAAAAGGTCCACGAACTGGTCTTATATTAGTGAATGCATCATAGTGAAACTTTCATTTGAAAAAGTTTGAGTATACCATTCCAAAAATCACCGTCAAAATTTCTGGCTGTGTTGACAGAATTAAGCTACCTAATGATACTTTAGTCAAACTTGATTGCTGAAAAACCTGTCTTTTGTCGACTGTGTTGACAGAATTAAGCTACCTAATGATACTTTAGTCAAACTTGATTGCTGAAAAAACCATGCCTCTGTCGAGGAGGAAACAGCGGCTGTTAAATCGTGTCCAATATGCCTTGTAACTCTTCGAAAACATCCTCAAAAACGCCAACAAAACCTTTTTATCAACTTTGTCATACAAGACAATTCTAATCAAGTCATCGTTTATCCTTGCAGATCATACATACCGAAATGTGATTCGTGTGTTTGGATATCGAAATTTCACTCATTACATGAACGCTTACACTCCAAAATGTAACTGCCATAGACTTGGCTTTCAAATAAACTACAGGATCAGGGAAAAAATCCCACGTTCCGCAAGCGTCGCTTCACATTAGTCGAAACTTATAGTTAATGAGACCCAAAAATATGGTCTCTGAACCTTAGCTATTTGAAATACCGGAACGGTACGTTTCGTGGTGATTACGAGCTTTGCGACTGCTTCTTTATCGTTGTATTTTTGTCCAAGTCCCATTCTACCCTTAACCAAGTGCGAACATCAAGCGGGTTTAGTAATATTTGTAGCATATGTTGCGCAAACCCAAACAAAGTAATATAGGCTCACCAATCGTCACCGTAGCCCATCACAGCAATGGGGTTTTTACCCACGTAACACCAGTCGATCGGCTGCACCAGAGGCATTTGTTGTAGTATGGTTATTCCGGTTGCCGGTTGCTGCGGATCTCGAATTAATTCAAAGTAGCCGACCTGAGGAGTCAAGTATTCGGGTTCTCGTACTTTTCCATTGCTGCGGACTAGAAAAAATCAAAATGGAATCTCTGAGTTGTCTCGCAGGAGTGGGAACCTAATATGAGTTGCAGCCCAGAGGTTTTTGTGCCAACATTTGCGGAAGAACAAAAGTACAACTTGAATAAACAACACCTGAAAGATGCACTTCAATTCTAAGTGGACTAAGATTGTATTGCTTTGTAGGCCATCCTGAACGGTGCTCATTTATGAAGTTCCAAGACTACCGACCTTGTGGTACACACGGTTGATGAGGCACAGCAATAATTTTGGCCCTTCGACATGGATTGATTGATTGCGGTTCATCTCGTCACAGTTTAAACAACAGAAAATAAAAATGCTATGAGAATCCATTGCAGGACGGCTGCATCCGAATTATTTACGCCAAAGGCAGTCACTAGGAAATTCCTAAGAAACTCTCTGGATTCTTCCCGAAAGCCTGTGAGCAAAATGAAAACGAGGAGAAGGCGAATTGCCTGACAAGCCCAACGAAGCTAAGGGGGTGTTACGTTGTGTTAAATCAACTACTAATTCCACAAGTTCAAACACCAAGTGACTCTTGATGTAAAATTGCCAGCTTTTTCAAGTGTATTAAGACAACTTTCTCCCACGCTTTTGTAGGCACCTGTAAAATACTACGTTCTTTCAAGACAGCCAGCGGTTTCCTATAATGCATGCAAGATTTCGGCATTCTCTTCTGAAAGATCAACATCATTTACATTCCCAAAACAGAAGCCGTCCGTCATCAAAACACTGACTGGAAACCTTGATCATAGACACTATATTTTCGTTGCGCGTTTCCTTGTGATTGCTTTACAGTTGAAAGGGTTGATTCTGTTATCTGAGATCACAGTTGCCCATGATTTTATATTGTCAGTGGTTCCTCTGAAGCCAACCAGGGTTCCATGATTACTGGTAAAATCCTGACTATACAGGCACAAAAAGGTGTTCCGAAATATTCCATAAGAGTATGAGAAAAGACTTCATATTGTTAGTGGATGTTTCATCCTACAATTGGAGGCAGTCTGTCATGAAATGCCAAGAAGCATCGCACACTTTGGAAATGATCAACCGAGCGAATTTCACGAATTCCTAGGAAGAGTCATACCCGAAGCCTGCCACCGAGTGGCTGAAAAATTGTCTTGTCATCAGCGGTTGTTCAGTTGTGTGAATACATTGCACCCATCATTTGGTCAGGCTTTGATCAGTTCCTTGAGTGACAAACCCTCGTCAGTCGAACTGTGGTTCGTGCGATGCGCGCTATTGTTGGTCCCCAGAGGGATTAGAACGATCATGTGATGCTTCTCCGACTCTCAGCATAGATAAACTCAAATTGCAACTTGGAATATCAACTGACAAAAATGTTTATCAGTAAAAAAACATTTCCTGGCTGGTTTCACTCAATTGTCTTGGATGATATTCGATTTTATTTAAGCTATCGTTTGACTGGAATTTCTAATACCTATACCAACTGGGCGATATAGGCACAGTCAAGTTCCCCGGACATTAGTCAGATTTATCACACCCATCAACACCATCACCGTCAAGAATGTTCCGTAGCTTACCTTGGAAATTGTCCACGTACGGCAACGCAAACGGGCTTGATGGTGGAGGTTTCGGGTACATATTTTCGACAGCTTTTATTGTAGAAAGTGTGTACAACTCATCAATATCCAAAGAAAGAGTGAATCTGTTGTTCACAATCTGGTAACGGACAAGGGTAAGGGTTTCAGTTTATTCCTCCCAAACAAAGATTGTTAGATAGTTATTCTGACAGCGAAGCCTACTTGAGAAGGAAAAGCAGAGGAAAGCTACGTGCACGTGAGTTGGGAACAGCTACGCGAAAGGAGAACAGCTTGATGACTTTTCAATAATCTCTAAGGAATAGTTAGTAAACAAGCAGCACAGTAGAAAAACTTCAAGACAAATTGGTCAAATTAAAATCAAGTGAAGGGCTAAACCGGTCGTGAGCTGTCGAAGAGTTTTCAGCAACCTTGTGAGTAGTTTCCTTTATGGAAATATACTGCGATATCTCGAATTTCGTGCCAACTGAATCATGAGGTGGCCTGTGTGCAGCACATTCAGTTGGAGGACATCATAAACGAGAGATTCAGTTGAGTCTCCTGAAGAAACCAAATTGATTTGCAAATCAGTGTATTTCTCGAAAATCAAGTGATGTTTTTAAGTCGGGAGTGTAATGCGGCTTATTTAATAGCGACGGTAGACGTATGACCTATCGAGGTCAAATGGCAGACGAAACTCCGGTCACATGGGATCGAGCTAGTGGAAATGGATTGTCAGTTGTATGTAAGAAATGTGTTTTCGGGGTAAAGTGATTATAGTAACGAAGGACAAATTAACGTTTGCTTGGACACTATCTCCTCTGTTGTCAGTGGTAATGTTTAGCACTTTTAGTGCGCACGTCTGAAGAACGTCCTCGTAGATTTTACCGCGAACCTGGTAGTTTATTCCAACGTACGCTATAATCTGACTCAAATTATGAGCACAATGCCTGCATAAATTAACATTGGTTGACTGCCATCTCGTGCCCGCTGGAAGTAAACTTACGGGTGGACAGCGTCAACAACAAGAACGACCGTGACGACGCATTAGTATTTATACGAAAGTACAAGAAATTGGAGTTCAGGAAACATAGCAAACAAGTTTTAGCTCCCCTTGTTGTTGACAGAACACGCTACTCAGAAAGTTGCTGAAAACTTTTCGGGAACAGGGACCAGTGTCGTCGTTGGTAAGGCTCGTCATGCAGTTGTATATATATCTTCTAACTTCAAAAAAATTCGCCAAATGCGTTAATTCATACACCAATTTGATTTAAACGAGAGACTCAAGCAAACCAATGCTGTATCACTTGTTCTGATTTTCTTCCGCTGCGTGTGTTGAATAAGGACTGCCTCATGTATCCAATTCAAGATATGGCGGTGTGGACGGTTCACATTAGTTATGAAGCTTCGCCTAACCTGATAAGTCTCAATAAGAACAAAATTGGTCCTGTATTGTCAAAGTATTTTCAGTAGCTTTGCAAGTAGTGCGTTCTACGAAGAAAATATGTTGTGAATCTTGGGTATCGTGCCAAATAAAATATGAGGGGGGATTTATGCAACCTACTTGGATGAAGAATACACTAAGCGGAAGATTCAAGTAAAATTCCATCAACACCAACTCAACTTGAAAGCGAGTGTATTTCACCAGGCCTTAACTGTTTTTGTTTATGATTATGGTGGTATCCAATCACTGATATCCTTACAATTATGAATGTTTCCCCATGGAACCAAAGAACATAAGCTTCGTGAACAGACAACATGGTATATCAATGACACTGTCTTCAGGTTATTACTGTCAATGTGATTCTCAAGACGCATTTGTGACCGGTTGTACAATGACGCCAGCTTTTGCTTGAGTTTCTTCCGAAAACAAACATCGTGACTAGAATTCATATCAGCGATCAAATTAGAATAATGAGGTCTATCTTCCAAAACCTCCTTCCTGGCCTGACAGGGCCTTTTCGGTTAGGTGTGTCGGCGTTTCAATGAACGTTATATCCTGCAGGCAGAGTCACTTTATGCTTAAAAGTCAAGAAACACTGTAAACCTGTTTCATTCTTATTTGGAATTAGCAACAGTAAGTATCTGACAAAACTCCGGAAGATTTCGAACCCGTAACCTTCGAACTACTAGTTTGAACTCTCGGTCTTCCGCCCACCGGTGGCTGGTTTGCAGTGTGACTACCTAGCACTTGGACAGGATATAGAGCCTCTCATCCTTAAATCACGAATCCACATCGATCAACGACTTCTCAAATGGTAGTTTTATTCATCGTGTGAATTGCATTCTTCCTCTGAGCTACTAACCGGATATCGAGACACCAGGGAGATTTGTACTACTGATGATTCTTATTATGGACGAAACAGCTGTACGGTGATCCTCAGCTTTTTTGTATAACTTGGCTTCACTTAGAGAACAAAACCTCCAATACGATCCCCACATCTCCTCGCACTACGAACGATTATGTGACGCTACGCTTTCTCTCACTGGACGGCACGTTCACGAATCATTAGCTGATATCGCAGAGTGAGATAGTTCGGCTTGTTCACGGAGGTCCTTCTCCGAAGACTATCTATAGGGCCATCTGGCATATTCAAAAATACTCGAAAATAGAACCACAAGGCGCATTAAATACATCTGTACATCAACGGATACACCTTATTCATTCGATCGTTGGACAACCGCATGTTTGGCGAATCAGCAACTGGTCTATCATTAGGCTTTCGGATCATTGTATTGAGTAAGAGAATTCCTAATAGTTCAATGCTTATGTTTATTGGCAGTGATAATTAACCCATATTTCAGGGACCCGATTCCTTTCGGCAGTGCTCCGAAACCAGTAACAGAATATGGAGCAATATAAAATCAGAGCTTACCTCTATTTCTCCCTCGTAATTGAAGTACTCCGATTCCTGAGGCGAAAAATAAGTATGAAACTCGGTTATATTTAGTATTCTTCTTTGTGTTATACTACTAGACTGATTTCGTCGGCTGTATCCTACGCTATCTTAACTTATCTCAACTAAACCTGATGACTGATTACCAATCAACATAATGAAATATACATCATCAGTAAGAATGCCTGATCTACAGGCGTTTATTAGCTTTGATGAGTTAGCAATTAACAGTTTCCCCGCCGGAATATCATGGTGGCTTTAGTGATACATCGAAACAAGCCGGGATGATGCTCTCAAAACGTGGATTTTTGACAGGCTTCTTGGTTGTCTTAGGAAAATAAATGATTTTCTTTAACAAACAAAGTTTGTGGAAGGCAACAAAGCGTAAAATATCACAAGCGCAACAGTTAGCCTTTTGGACTAACGTCCTATCGTTCGCGTTTGAGGGAGTGATATTTCGCCAATGATCCTAAATGTCAGATGACATGGATACAACAGGAAGACTGTGCAGTTCCACGAGTTTCGCAGAAAATGTAACGACTTAACGACAGGTCACCGTGCTCTGATTGGCTGTCCACTGTCTTGTGCTAGTGTAGTCAGATTGTCCAATACAATTGTGTGTCTATAGTTTTAACTTACTTTCTCGCCGACGAACTCCAGCTTTGTCCGGTACACATGGAGAGTTTCATCTCCAGAGAACTAAAACAGAATTATTGAGCATCATTAGTGTGACAATATTCGTATCGTGTTATACTCAACTTTTAGAACTGCTTTGGTGTCAAACACCAGGATCAGCACACGAGGATATGTTTCACTATATCTTTTAGTATAGTGAGAATTATATGAAGAGAACTCTTTTCACGAAGTAACAAAATCTGGTGAATCCAGTCTTTTGTTTACTGTGCTCAAAATTCTGTTTAAAAAGTGTTTGGCATAGCTTACCGTCATCGCACATTCAGAATCATCTAATCGGGCTTATTGACTCGTACAACTTTCACTGAAACTCCCCGATCGATCACAACAATGGGCACAGATGAAACAAACGTTTCTTAGATAAAACCGGCCTAAATGGCGGGTACAGTAGTCAATATACAACAGTTGGTCTATCTACCTACTATCTATCTATCTATCTACTGATTCTACTTAGCATCCCAGCCCTACCGATTTTATTCAGATTTAACCGGTAACCTATGGTTCGAGATTGTCATTGGATTGCAAACTCATTGTCTTATCGGCTACAACGACCATTCAACACAGTGTACGAAAGCTGCAGTAAACGTCAATATTCCTGATATTTACATGCAACTCTGTGTTTGAAATGATTTGCCTTCTTCGTTTCCGATGTACTGATTCAGACTTTGTATGTTTTGCGTTAAAATTGATTGGACAGGTGAAATACGGTCTGTTGGTTACAACGATATAGATAAACATGTAGGTCTCGTATCGCAGGTACAAGGCACTCGGGTTAGGAAGTTTATTACGGAGGATAGTACCACGTATGATTTCGGTAAAAACTTTAATTTTGTCCTGTTTTTTATGTTCCGATAGATTCTTCCCGAAAATCGTGACCTGAAGTGCAACCGAGCAAAGTAATACCTGGTGCTGAAGTTGCATAAATATGCTCCAAGCGAGCTGAAGGCGGGAGAGAAACTTACCTTTTCTCCAGTGATCATAAATGTTACATTCTGGGGATTGACAGTATAGTGTGGTAGGCTCGGCCGAATACACAATGAATGATCGTGGGACTGTTAGAATAGAAAGTATAAAGAAAACACAAGGGACGGTTTGGTAAAAACACATTACTTAGATGTGGAAGGAAAGTTTTCATCGAAATAGTACTGTGGTACTTGCTGCTGATTTGTTCGCAGAGTCTGGAATTTTCTGCGCAAGCTAACCGCCGCCATCGGCTAGGTGAATGTTTGTTCTTTCAACAACTGCCCTCATATTTAACATCCAAAAATATTTCTTATACTTTACGCGTTTGGTTGTTTCGTTGGCCATTGTTTGACACTAAATATGTGCTTTATTGTGGTCTGGTTCCTTAAACTGAATCCTTTCAGTTTTGCTCAATCATCATTTTCATTGCTTCCTTGGGCACTTCCGGTGTCGAAACCATCTCCGGGGACGGGTTAAGACAAACGAACCAATACAAGCTATCTGTATTATACAGTGTTCGTAACACAGCCGTATTCCACGTCTTTCAGTCTGCTGCCGCACATCCGGTACATTCTGATCTGTGAAGCACCGAAACAAGCATTGAAACATCTGTTACCATTTCAGCGCAGTATCTCCGTTTGTATTTGCGACTCAGATGGTGTGCTTACACCTTATCGTATTCAGTTAAATCAGTGGACGCAAATGTTTTGTGCATCAGCAAAATACTAGTTTTCTTGTTTTCGAAAAAGTTTGGTGACAATCGGTAGATTTGTTGCTGGGCGACGTTTTGCTTTTGACACAATCTTCGGTAGGCCAAGTGAATAGGTTCCGAGGTTGGTCGAGGTTTAGGGCGGAAGGAGAACCAATCAGCTAAATCAAGCTAAATCTCTGTTGGGTGTCGGCCGAGGGATTTTTGTGTGTTAGGATGGGTGAACAAGTGTTGGGTCGATAGGTAAACCCAAATGAGTTAGGGTTCAGCGTAAGGTCTAGTTCTTCTGGTCCGGTTCGTTTGATGGTCCCCCTTGAACGTCGTTTGAACCTTCTGTCCGTCTGTGTGGATGAGGTGGTGTTAAGATAAATGCTGCAAGAGAGATGCTGTGACCTTTGATCTGGTTGGGATTTCCACCCTCGACCCCAGTTTTTGCTAGGGATTCAACGTGGATTGATAACCACACAGTCACGTGTCAACTCGGCTTATCTGAGGCCGCTTCCCATACACTGACCAGTTCCAAACCCTTGATTCTATACACGCTGTGACGCTTAGTAATTTCCACCGCCTTGGCTATCAGCCGCTGTGGTGTGAATTGCAGTCTTCATCCTAAAACTTCCACATTCTCCAGATTTGTTTCATGTCACTTGTCTAAGGCACGCCCCGCCATCGCCGAGTCTGTTTTCCTTGGTTGCTTGTTTATCCCTATTTATGCTCATCAAGTCTGGTTGCCCACCAATGAATCTACCGATGGTCACCAAACTTCTTCAAAAACGATGACTACTCAATTGGTTCCAAGCATCTTCACATGAAAGATTTTTTGTCGTTTATTTTTAGGTGGTTACTAGCCTACCTATTGAGCCTCAGGAAGGGCGAAACCGGTCGTGGGCTGTTGAGGTGTTTGCAATAACCTTATGAATAGTGCGCTACAAAAATATATGTGTATCGTGATATCTCGAATATCGTAGCGACGGAAAGATGGGACGGTCTGATGCAGCACATTCAGTTGCCTGGAAACATCAAAACCGAGAGATTCAGCTGGGTTCCAGGTGAGTCTCTCGAAAAAAACAAATTCCTTTGCAAATGAGTGTATTTCGCTAGTTACTAGATTTGCTTCAATACGAACAGCTGTCTGGTGATGAATCTGTCTATTGACCTATGTTTTGATGAAACACAAGCCACGTTATCTTTGTCATTGCTCACTGGACGATGTTGTACTCATTCTACGCTAGAAGTTGAAATTGGGTTGTGATCCAGTAAATGGTTGAACTGAACGCCCAGAAGCTACCAGCTCCTTTCCATGGGAAGCGCTGCCATGGAGAAAGCGACTTTGGCGCAATGGAATTGTGTCCATTGCGGTAATTAAGCTCCAGAACCAAAGAGGACACTTTCCGTCGTTCACTGATTACATCTTTTCCCAAGGAAAACGCGTCACCATCCTACTTTGTCATACCGTTTATGAAGGTTTCTTACTCTTTCTTTTTCTACTTCGACGTGACAGACGCACTGGCCCTCATCTTCAACAGAGTATTCTTAGGTTGTAATTAACCAAGTGGCTGGTTGGTCTGTTCTCGGAGTCTGACACTTGATTTGCAAACGGTCCGTCACCATTTGAGAAGACGTCTTTAGTGCGTTGTTGGTTGGGTACTTTCTCTCTTCGTGCTTACGGTTATGAAGTTTACAAAGAGCAGCTTTAAGCTGTAGCCTGATTGGCTACTGGTGTTCATCGCACTTGGATTCTGGTTGGTCCGATCATAATCTGTGTTGCGTTATTGTTACTTTGTAGGTGCGTTGTGCGTTACCAAGCTACCGATATTCCAACACATTACCAGAATATTCTCAATCGAGTTTTGTCGAGAGTTCAGCTAAGAATGTTTGCACGGCGCTGCCAGGCGGTTTATGTCACATTAGAACATTTAATAAAGGTAACGAAGCCAGAGCACATAAAGGAACAAAGCAAGGAAACCAGCTCCCAATAAATACCTCAAATATTGTTATTATAATGTAGAAGTAAGACTTTGTTCTGTTTGTCTAGATGGCGCCGAAACTACTCACTTGTTAAGGTCTAGATGACGGGCATTTTACTTGTCACTTGTGTGCCCCAGTCTTGGATATGAAAGGACATTGAATGAATGGCGAATCCACCCCAGAAGTGTATTCATCCAAACTTCCTCAAATATTCGTGTTTCATTGATTAGGCTTCTGAATATGTGCCAATTCCCTTGGAGGAACCATTTTTCCGGTTTCATGAATTACGTTTGGTTTGGCTATCAGGTTGAATTTATGGGAACTTTAAAGAATGGTGCCTTGAATCTTTGGACGGCTACCCATTTGTGTCCGTATGAATTCAAACACGCGAATTGGGATTAACAGTCCACAAGAAATGTATACATAAGATACTACTCACCCAAAACAGAGCTACTTTTAAAAACCAATGAAGAAGCCTACTGCATCTTTGGAAAATATGTGGAATATAATCACCTTCGCTCAATTTAGGAAGCCAGAAACTTCGTGATTGGTTCCTGAGGATGCACATGAAGTTGCCTGCCTTGCAACGCATCTTCAAATGTTCACCACTCTCCTATGAATGGTGCATTTCCGGTCTTCCCGCAATTATCCCGGTTAATCGACGCCAAAGTAGTGCAGTAGCTTATCAGTAATGTGAAATCCTCGGCCATTTTAGGATGTGAATGGTTGGTCAAAAAGTTGAAGCTGTCCTTCAATGGTTTCATTATTGATGATCGATAAATAAGGTCGACTGATAAGAATAAACAAGTCATTCGTTTTCGTGAATCAGATATACAATCAAAAAACAATACTCCGATATCCAGGTACCATTCTAGGAAGAATGAATATCCTTGCCACTTAGCGAGACGAAAATCAAGGACAATATTCTGAGTTTGTCAGACTCCATTATTCCTGAAGGTAAGAATAACAAAGGAAAGCTTCGAAAAGCAAAAACGACTGCTTATTCTTTTACACTTACCATCGTCTCTACAATAATGGTCAACTCATTCCGATCCGGACTCACGAGCGACACGTAAGAGCCTCCCTCTGGCAAGTGTCCCACTCCCGTCCCATGTCCCAGATAATGCCATCCCGGTTTGGTGAACTGAGTCGTGTGTGCCGTAACCCATATTGGTCCATTGACTGTGTAGTGTCCAGACCAAGGCTCGTTTGCTGTCATTAAAGAGCACTTTGAATACGGTAGTTTGTCCGCGTACGAAGCGATTAGATTCCATGCGATGGTGCTTACCAAGTAAAGTAGAAATAATTCGACGTTCAGTATCCATTTGGGACTCAGATAGAATACAGTGTGTCCATCTAGCTACTCACCTCGTCATCAAGCCGTTGACATAATTCTGATTCAGGATCTGTGAAGAAAGAGTTTTCCTATTGTTCTAAGGTTAAAACACTTACTCGAGCCCAGCAACCCGCTCCAACTTCATCGTTGAAAGTTGAATAGTCTTCGGACGCCCATAACGGCATATTCAATGTTTTTGCCGCATCATTTGAATTTGTGCCTGGATAATGTGCACTACAACTTTGAAAACGACCACTAGAAGCTTACCCTATCGCATAGATTGCCTTGCGTAAATCATTGTCGGTTTGAACAGCCTTGACGATTTGCCATTTACCATCAGAAGCAATGATCTTCACGTTAGTGTATCCAGCAGAATCAAGCGTTTGACGAAGTATTTTGATGTATTGCACATCGTATGGTCTTTCGTTCCATATCTATGATAGCATTTTGCATTGTCACAGTAAGAAGGGGAGTGAGCCTCACCCCAATATAATCCACCTCAACATTAAAAGTCTCATTCATACAAATGACCCATTTTGTTATATAGTCTGCTGTTTTTTCTGGAAACTGGTACGGGTTTTGACCCAGCCATCCAGGAAACGTCCATGGAAGACCGTGAATCTTAATGCCTGGATTGATCTGTTTTGGAATCGAGTAAACTGCTCTTCCACGAGAAAAAGTGAACTTACTTCTTTGGCTCTTTTGACTAACCAAGATTCGTAGCCTCTGCCACAATCCAAATCCATCTCTGTGTGCATGTGGGACGCCTCTGTTCCTTCGGTACTTTGTGAATCACCACCGATTTCCACCTTTAGTTGAGTCAGCGAAGCGGCATAGTTGGGCTATTCGAATGGACATGAGCCTAAACAAGTAGCGACAATTAACTCACCTTAAACAAATAATCCAGAATTTCTTTCAGACGCGTCTCATCATAGTTTGGAAGGAGTTTACTGGTGGCCTTCGAACATGATTGCAGAATGGATCAGAGCTTACTTACTCCTCCTCCACTAATAGCTCCAATGCCCTCAAATCTGCGTCCAAGTTGACCATCAGGGGCTATGATAATATCACTCTTGGTGCAAAGCACGAATGTCAGCACGATCACAGGGATGTATAACATCTTGTTTAGGAACCCAGTGTCTCTCTGGGTTTATACGTGGTTAATTTTGTGACCTTTGTGGCGTACCGATCCGTCTACTGGCCACAGTAAACAAATGAAGCTACAGTCGGGCTGATGTTCTGCGAATCGTGAACGTGCTATGACTGGCACGTGACTAGACGTTCGACTAAACTAACCAACCACATGTATGCCTGTGTGCATCACGCGCATTGCTGACAAACTTCCTTGACCGTAATTACATAGTCACCGATTGACACTATTACTTATCTACGGAGTGATGGAAGACCAAGCAAATTTATGCCGACACCTGAGTTCCGTACCTCTGATTCCGTTAAGTTCTTAGTGGGAAGCTACACAATTTTCTTTCCATATGGTAACCACAAGTACCAAAAGTACCGCCCAACGCATAGGCTCTCCACACAATCGTTTTATTCGTGAGATATTTGTGGGACACAAACTGTCAGAAATTTAACGCAGATATGGTTAGTTTAGTTTAATTGGCAACCTACCAAAGAGGATGATGAAAAGTGAAGGTGCTCCGTTCTAACCACTTAGCTGTCCATTTAAACGAACACTTCAAATGGACGTAGAATACAAAGGCGAAGTAGGTGTTTTGTGAACAAACTAACGCACATAGAGTGAAGATTAGCCATCGACTTCCCGCATGACGAAATGTTGCTTTAAAAACTATGCTGCCAGGAATAGTATTGTTGAAGTAAGAAATTTAACGCAGATATGGTTAGTTTAGTTTAATTGGCAACCTACCAAAGAGGATGATGAAAAGTGAAGGTGCTCCGTTCTAACCACTTAGCTGTCCATTTAAACGAACACTTCAAATGGACGTAGAATACAAAGGCGAAGTAGGTGTTTTGTGAACAAACTAACGCACATAGAGTGAAGATTAGCCATCGACTTCCTGCATGACGAAATGGTGCTTTAAAAACTATGCTGCCAGGAATAGTATCTGTTGAAGGACCTACGGTAGCTTACCCTTGATTGTTCCTTGCCTCTCATTGAAGGTTCATATTTAGATGTTAACAGGTAAGTGTAGGCTGCCAACCGAAAATGTCAAGATTTCGCCTTATAGGGCTGTACTTTAGTGTGCCGAAAGAGAACCAAAGAAGGTTGGACGATCAAGATGTGCACACACTTCTGCAGGCTCTGCATACAATCTGACGAGCCTTCAGAATTTACCGGCGAACACGGATCTACGGGGCATTCCGAAGACTGAACGTGCAACATTTGATGAACCTTACGATGTATGCCGAGCAGTGCTGTGTGCTTCCTCATCAAAGTTTCAACCTGTTTGTGGAGGCACCTTAGCATGCTCCAGAAGATAGCCGCTCTAACTTAAAGGAAAGTTTCACTTTTTTCTACTCACCTCAAAAGCTTGATCTAAGCTTCCAGAATATCGCTGCAACGGACCCATTAGGTTAGCCGCTAACCGAGTGTAATGGCTAAGCGTAGGCGAAAACAATATACCTGTAACAAAACAAGTCCGTTATTCACTTCCATCCTCATTTTTTGTTGACCCGATTTCACCTGGGATTCATACGGGATTCATAAAGGAGACTACTCACAAGGTTGCTGAAAACTCTTCGACAGCCCACGACCGGTTTCGCGAAATACACTCATTTGCAAATCAATCGTGTTTTCACGAAAGACTTAACTGAATCTCTTGTTTATGATGTTGTACAACTGAATGTGCTGCACACAGGCCGCCTCATGTCTCAGTTGGTACGATATTCGAGACATCTCAGTATATTTTCATGAAGGAAACTACTCACAAGGTTGCTGAAAACTCGTCGACAGCCCACGACCGGTTTCGCTTTTCTTGGGTCTCATCAGGTAGGCGCAGTCCCCGAGTTTCCGTCAACGTTATGTTCTAATTCACTTCAGACGCAAGGCCGTCTGTCAGGCATATATGCCTGCACATGCTTCGACACATTACTAGTTCTTCGATGTGGCTTGAATAGACGCGAGTTAACACTGTCGGTCACTTGCACGTAAACCACGTTGTGTTAGCCTAGTGTAGGCTGGAATTCCGGCGCGGATACAGATGAACCATAAAAAACATACTGATGAAATAATGATTATCTCTACGTATAATGGCTCCCAACAGGGATGAAACAGCACCACAGTGCTTCTCGGCTTCTCATCTCCATTGACTAGCTTCATTGTGCTTTACTAGACTAGATTCAATCAGAGCAATATACCAATGGGACAGAATTCCGTATAGAGGACGCTATTTTAGCCTCCAAATGAGATGACCTACCCTCGGTTGTGATGTCAGTTGACTAAAATCGCGGGAGCTTGGGCACATCTGTGGACAGTTGCAAAATTGTAATGCCACTTGTCACCTTGTGTCAATGTAGTGCTCATGGTACGGATTCGGTATGGTCATTATCAGACATTTGGGCTGCTCTCTCAACCCAGAACCCTATGAGAGCAGGATGGCATCTGCGAGTGTGGGGTGCGTTTATGGTTTGTTCCGATATGGTCTACCGAACGACTGAGATCAAGACATCATTTCCATGTAGAAAAAATATGGGTCGATCAGTGGTAGACAGATATCCATGAAATCTCACAAAACTGTCCTTAAACTGAATGGTTTCAAAGTAGAAATTCAAATTCCGCACTCTACAAAACCAAATTTACTCACCTTTCCAAGATCAGTATTCTAAATGGACTTTGGTAATAAATTGGTAAACGAGAGACGCATCTGGGACTAACCTTGAACTGAATGCACGCCCACATTCATCACAGTGCTACTCTCATTTGAGGCACACCTCAGTAAGGCTAATAAATGATAGACGTCACAAGGACTGATGCCATGATTGAAGTTCAAAGACAAAATACTGACAAAGATTGATACAAGCTTGATATTATCTGTTTTAGTGTAAAGTGGATCTTAATATTTATCGGTCTGTAACATATTCCCGAGTTTGTAGAGTGGGCTCCTTGTGTAGCTACTTTTCCAACTTTTCAAACAGCATGGCATTGTTCGACGTGTTGCCTCGTAATCTGAGTGGTAAAAACTGACATGAGGTCCACACAACTGCTTCTTTCTGTATCATTTGAGCAGTATTCAGACGTTGAATCGTCTTTGAAAACGAGTCCCTTAATACGATATTGGTAACCTCCCCAGAGGTAGGAGTCCCTACAAAAATTCAGAGGAAGACTTTTTATGAACCCGTTCTCAGTATATTTTCCTTGAAAATGAGACTGCACTTTCCAAAGGACGTTTATACTGTGCGCTGAGTGGTTTTAGGCCAGAAGCCTCCTTTTGGTTAAGCATGAAGAACACCTCAAATTTAATTTGAAGATAAATCACTCCACCATCCATGTGTTTCTGGTGGATCCAAAGTATTCATCGAATGGGCGATGCTTTCACTGAACTCCGTGTGCACAGTTGTTATCCATCAGAGTAGTTTCCTCATGTCTGGTAGATGTTAGCTTTGCTAATATTTCGAGTGCTAAATGTACCACCAAACTTGAAGTCCGGGAGGTATTCGGTGAGTACAAATATGTGGATATATAGCTCTGTTGGTTGTTACGGTGACGAGATGACCCAAGTGGTTAGAGCGTGAATTTACTCACCGGAAATTTCATGGTTCTAACCTGACCTCTGCCTCTCGACTTCCCCGTCTAGGCTTGGGCGACCCGGCAGTATCCTAGCTCTCATGCAACCTTCGGGTGGCACCGAAAGGGTGCTACATCTGAACGAGTTTGACTTCAATTGGTTGTTGCAGGCTTAATAGGTTCATGTTCACTTTATGGTGAATAGGTCGACGCGTAACGAAAATACTAACCCTCTAATGTGCTGTGAGCAGTTAGCTTATTGTTCTCACCTTAGTTGTCATTTTTCAGCTTAACTCTCTCTTCAATGTGTACGTCTTGAGTCGCGGAGGCGAGGCTTCAGAAAACGCTCGTGTTAAAGCGTGCACAGATGGACTTTCGGTATATATGCAAGTTCAAATCAACCGCCTATTCAGCTATCCAGCTCCCTAGACCACATGAGATGGTATGAGCTAGTAAAACCATCACAGCTTATCGTCGCACGATAGGAATGACTGAGGCAACAATTCTCTGGCGCAACCTCATCTCCAAAAACGTCTTGTGTGTGCCGGGGTTATCCATGGTCTGACGCAGATCTACGTACACATCTATCTTGCGTTGGACATTCCCGAATTTCACCCTTCATCCCTGTAGCCTACACATCCAGGTCGTTCCATGGGGTGGGTTGGGACTGAACCCCATGCTCTATCCGATTTCGTTCCGTAGGGTGGCTTAAATTATTACTTGCACGAACTGATGGGACCACACAGTTTTCCACAGAAAAAACTACACCACCAAAGATAGTCCATTTTATCCACAGAGGCAAAAGGACCAGAAAGTGCTCGTTGCTGAGCTGCTGCTCGTAGACGAATTACAGTTCATCGATTTGCTCATCACTTGTGTGGGCACTGATCCATTTATGTTGGCGACTGGACCGGATAAACCTTACTGGTGTTTCTTACCTAGCACGCACTGGTTACGCATATTGTCGGATGATTTAAGTACGATCCGACATGCTTAGCAAGTGATTTTAATACATTTCAATCGGGGTACTCAGATTTCATTGGAATGCTCATCTCTCGGCATGTGAACACGTCCACCCTGAGTTGGTGTTCACTTCGTTGAACCGCTGGTGCCATGAATCAGCAAATATCCTGAATACGCTGATCGATGCCCTGTGTGTCATGACTTCCCAGCCAGACTGTTATGCGGACGAGCTGGACATGTCAGAAGTTTTTTGCTACTCGTGAGTAGTTATAGTTCTTATTGAATTTGTATTCAGAGAGCTTTGAGCCGAGGGCAAAGTGGTGTGAAAATAGCGAATATACATCCATTTGCAAAATAATTTGGTTCTTTCGAGAGAGTTAGTTTGCAAATGAGTGTATATTCGCTAATTCCGTGGATTTTGGTTTCAAGTAGAACATAAGGTTGACGGAAACCCAGGGGCTGCGCCTACCTGTTGAGCTCCAAGAAGGGCGAAACCGGTCGTGGGCTGTCGATGGATTTTCAGCAACCTTATGAGTAGTATATTACAAAGATATGGTGTGAAAACAATTTGAACAGAACTCGTGATTGCTGACAAACAAGCTAGTTCAAGGCACCTGACCACCGTAAAAAGACAAAATGTCCTGTTCAAATTCCAACTGAAGTTAACCGGGCTTTACCTCACTCGTTGATAACATGCAAACGGTGGTTCGTTTTCTCACGATTCCTCATTGTGGATAGAAATGTAGAATGACGACGTAGATGTTGAAATAACAGCGGCGAAAAAAGTCGCATGTAGATGATTCTGCTGCAGTAGTCAGCGGTATCACCAACTTCACACCATCATATCAAACCTGATATTATGCGAACTTCACCAAGTTCATGAAACTGACCTAGCGCTCTCTTCATCTTCGCATCGGTCATCTGAGACATCATGACTGTGAACATATGCTGTGCTCAAACGTGCTATGAACGTGCTGTGCTGAATACGGGTGGGAATAGTTCACGCTTTACGAGCCTGGGATAACTGGCCGATACGGACTGAACTGCCTATCTAGTGCAGTGAATTGTTAGCAGGCTACCTAAATGTAGCAAAATGCAAGTGAATGTAATGTGAATGTAATGAAGGACGAACAGACTGTCCAACTCCTCTTCAATGACTGGAAGAACTGGGAGAAACTGTTCTTAGGGAACACATTTGAAAACCAGCTTTTTCTGATGAGATAAACTAAAGCTATTTCCACACCGCATTTGATCGAAAACCACAACTAGAATATTAACTATTAACTTCTATAAAATAAACACCAGCGTCACTGCTATACGTTTCAGGTAACTGTATGGCACTTGCTTAGTCTATGCCTGCAGGTGCGAACTCACCCCAAATCCGCCCACACTACACTCCCACCCCGATCGTTGCTTGAAGACAGCCCATATAACCAACTGCCCTTATCACTCGATTGCACACGCATTCAGCTCGCTTATGACGACTGCACTTGTCTTCAAGTCTTGTTTAGTTGGTTGATTTCTGTCCTAGACCGGTTGACCAAACAACGGGGCAGTTATGGAGCCGGATGACTTTAGTCTGGAAAATATAAAATGGCAACTCGGGTAAGAGTGAGCGTTCATTTCTGTTCAACTCAGAATGGAACAATTTTACATCATGACCGTCTCACCAACTGGCTGAATTGGTAGCAGAAGTAACCTGTGATGATTGGGTGGGGTAGAAAGTAATCGGTTGGAGACAGTAAGATACGTCTGGCTCAATATAAAATCATGATCATCTAACATTTCAGAGTCCAACCCATTGGTTCAAGCAATCATTCTATTAGCAAGTAGGTCACACGGACATAGATGAAAAGACGGAACTACAAAATGACATTTCATTAATGAAAGATGATAGTAATTTGTGCTGCTTAAACCTACCATTAAATAGGAATATCCATAAATTTTCATTCGAGAAGATTCTTCCGGGAAGTACAAGAGTTTCCTTCAGGAACGCTTGAAGAGTGCGAAACTGTTTTGTTTTAATGCCACTGCAGTAACAAACTCTCCCTGAGATGGCAAATATTAAACCGCCTTGTCATTTTAAAGTATCATATAATGTGCAATGAGTTATAATTACCAACACATTTTATTAGAGAGTATTAACCCAGAAACCCCAAGTCCTGGTGATGGTTGTCTGTCAGTGGGATTCTCACGAGGGTATTCAATGTGCAATCCAAGGCTATACAAAAGCACAACAGCTGTGTACTAACCTTGAGTTACAGGAATCGAGAGCAAATTATGGTATTCGGCTGTCAAAGAGTTTCACTTGAACATTCCATACAAGATGTAAGTACCCGTCAATGTCATCCAACTGAACCGCGCGGGAGTCTTTGTGCTGTGTATTCAGTTTCAAAAAGCCATACACGACGGGAAATGCAGTCGAAAATAATTTTATTTTCATTTTGTTTTGCAAACGAGTGGCCTATTTTTTGCCAATTATCGATATCCATCGGGCAGAAAGGGGGGCTGTGCGTCACTGAATCAAGTACTGCCTGAGCAGATTACTTTGGGGAAAATTCCCTAGTAATCAGATATGCGAGTCCATATCTATATGAGTTTCAACATATTCCTACTGGCAAGACAATGGGAGCAGACTGGTCGATATCTGTTTGTAGCGTTCATCGTTGAGCTCCGGTTGATAAGTGTTTTGTTTTGTTGCTTCCACTGTGATGCATGCTAACCAAGGATGATAGAGGCCAAAAGTATGAATAGGGACTAGAGATTGGTGGGAAAAAGAAATGTAATCAAATCCTCTGTTTTGGCCATTTTCTGTCGAGAAAACATTCTGGGCTGCCTTAGCTTCTTTTTATCCGGTTTCTTCATACCTAGATTTGCGAAGCGCGAGGGAACAGATCAGGTGCTCCGATACAACGCCATACAGCTTAAGCATAATCCATCACATATATCGTGACTTATTGCAACTCAGACACGTTTGATGTTTAGTGGGTCAAGAATCTTCAAAAAAGGCAACATAGCGGCTCTCATTTACTTCAAAGGTATAACTGTAGTGTATGCTTGACTATGCGCCATATCACTCTCCCTAAATTGGAGCGTGTTTTCAAAAGAGAGCATTCATTAACACAGGAGATTCCCAATTTCTATTATTGTCCTGCTAGGGATGTTAAATTGAAAAAAGTAGGCGCTCCTCTACATGGTATTTTCGGAGTGAACGTAGATTTTCTCATTTAACACATGACAAACCAACGCTTGCCAAGAAGCACCAGGATACACGGAAATCAGCGGGCACCGTCAGGACCAGGCAAAACCACCCGGTCCGAGGAAGTGCTCAGTCTACAAGCTGCCCGTGTAGATTACTGGAATAACCACACACCAAGTCAATACAAAGTCAGAAAAATCTTATTTGTGAGCTTCAACTGTCCCTTTTCCTATTTCATCAAAACGGGAAGTCATATGCTGAACCCTCCCCATATCTGCAGAGAAGTAGTGAAACCGAACGCAAGCAGAAGTAGTTGCCTTCACTTGTCTCAGCTGGAAAATCATCAGCGTCAACACAGAACTATGCTGATGAGGTCCTTGTGGTGTCAGGTGTTTCAAGAGTAACACACTCTGTTCCAAGCCTTCCATTTTTAACCAAATAGAACCTACTTTCAAAATTTAAACAACAAACTTCAACGTATACAGTGACTGATTTTGTGGAACGCCGGTTCATCAGGTCGCTCAAAAGGTCGGTGACTGTTCATGTCAAAACTGCGGTATAATGGGAACAGTTAGAATGCGACATCCTGATTTATCGCTTAACTACAGGTATGTAGCTCCCAGTCAGTCGCTTATTCATGATCCTATATCCATAGCATGCTTTATCAGCCACACTCTGAGTAGTTGAAGATGGACCGCTGTAAACCTCATGGCTTACCGTCACTGGTCATCGCGTACTAGTTTTTATAATTCCGTTGCTTCCATTTCTCTCTAGTCGTCGACTCAGATTGCCTTTTGATCTCACTCACTAAAACACACATTGTTCCGCTCTCTAGAGCAGTATCATTGCAGCGCGTATGAACCAGTCACACGGGTCTGCGGAAGCGCTGATATGGATTAGCGTGGACCTAACTTGCCAGCGCTACGAGCCAACTTGGGCTCAAGGGGTTAAAGAAGTACAGGGCTCATCGTACTTGTTTTCTAACTGGATGTAATCCAACCCACAGTAGCATAACACAGTAACAACCTTCAGTGTAAAAACTACAATGAACCTAGTTGCGATCAAAATTCACTGCATGGTCGATTTCATCCTGTGTGTAGATTTTTGTCACAAGTTAAGGTTGTGCTTACGGCTGGAAGTTCCAGCGTTGGCTGAAGCAGAGTAGCTCTTGTCGAGGACCCCTAATGGAATATTCCTTTTGAGGGTCGCTCACAGATTTTGTTCACTGACGTGCGTAGAAGGATGCCGGGAGAATTGGAGTGGGGTTGGGAGGTTGTTAAGTGGATTTTATTCTGCTTGAATTTTGTACTTTTAGACCCAGACTTTTTTGCCGATTACTGCACACCGCCTCGTGCCATTTCGGCTCATCTGAAACAGCTCTCCACACGCCTGCCAGTTCTGCGTATTCTACTCTTTTCACGCTGGGATGCTCACCGATTTCCACAGCCTCGGTTGTGGTGTGGATCTTGGTCCGCATCTCACAATGTCCACATTTTCCAAGTCTATGCCCAGTGTCAGGTGCGTGCATTTCCTTTGTCGAATCTTTGACCATCGCCCGATATTCATTTACTTTTCTCGTCTGTTAATGCATCGCGTATGCTCACCGATTCTGGTGTGCAACTCCCTGGCTGTCTGACCTATATAAACCTTCGCAAAGTCGTTACACTTCATTTTGTACGCACAGTTCCAAGTCCTATCAACCGGAAGGCGATCCTTCAAGTGCACATACACCGAGTATTCCTCTTACGTTAGCCATATTCACTACCCGTTTAAGGATTTCAGATGTCCCTGTTTTGTATGGAATAATCGCTGTTCCGATCCACTCCTTGTTGGGCCTTGGTGTTGGCACCAATACCCGTCTTAGTTGCTGCTTAATTAAACCCAATTGAAGTCACTTTTGAACTTTAAGATATACTGCTGTTCGGGCGACGTCCTGTGCGCAGTGTTCCTACTCTCCTAAACATGGTTGAAGCTATACTAGCAGACACTGCTTTCGGATGTGCTGAGAAGTAGTTTAAGACCGCATCACTATCTGCTGATCTCCGTTAAACAGTGGGTTTCAATTTCCCACTATTCTTGTGTGTCATGCAGTCAATTAAGGGTAGTGTAACCGCTGTGGACTCTAGTTTCATGCTAAACTTAATGTGAGAGTCCAAGGTAGTAGGATATGCAAGTATGAATATATAGGAATATATATACACAAGAATATGCGAATCGTTAAACTTATCCCACTTTATTACGACGAACTTGTCATACAAGTAACGCCAGAAAACCCTCGGCGGACACTCGAAACCGTCTACAGCCCCCGCTCAAAGTCTTCCATGTACATGTTGACCGAAATCGGGGATACTGGAGATTCTACCGCTTGACCATGTTCTTGGGCATATACAAATGAGCCGAAAACAAAGTGACTGAAGTTTGGACATACTTTTATGGCTTCAACTATTTCGTCTACGAGGAGTTGCGTTCATTTTTGCAGTGTTGTGTCTGTCAGTAAAAGCTTTCTCGCCACTTACAGAGCGTCCGCTAAAGGGACATTGGTATACGTCGAGTTGACATCAAAACCAACAAGAACTTCGTTTAGCTGTAACTGAAACCCAGCTACATTTTTAGCAATCACACGAAGGTTGGGTGTGTGTGGGTGACTTGCCGGCAACTGGTTAAAGGATGCCTGCCAGAAATCTGGCCAGCTCATGTGGTGGTTAACATATGCCATCCACTATTGGTCTTATGGGGACATCTTCCTTGTGAATTTTTGGTAACACAAAGTCGTGGTTGGATTGCACTTTTTGGGTACAATCAATACCCACGGCCTTGCCCAAGGTGGTCTATCACCCACCTTAGATACCTTCCACCTTCAACCTTACACTTATTCATTATTGACGTAATCGTTCCGCTAGTACTTTTTCGATGAGACCCATCAGTTACGTGTAGTCTAACTTTCTGCAGGTAGTTACTCTTATTACTGTCGACCGTGGCCCTAGCATAATCGTTCCACTAACAAACCACCGAGAAACGCAGAGGAATACCAGGCGTTAGTCAAAGATTCAGCAATGGCAGGGCATGCTCTAGACACTAGGTACAGGATAGATTTAGAAAATATGGACATCCTGAGACGGGGTTT